CAAGTTTCTGATTTTTTTTTTTTTTTTTTATGAGACAGAGTCTTGCTCTGTTGTCCAGGCTGGGGTGCAGTGGTGTGATCATAGCTCACTGAACCTCAAACTTGTGGGTTCAAGCGATCCTACTACTTCAGCCTCCCAAGTAGCTAGGACTGTAGGCCCATGCCACCATGCCAGGCTGATTTTTAAATTTTTTCTGGGGACAGGATTTTACTATGTTGCCCAGGCTAGTCTCAAATTCCTGGCCTCTCAGAGTTCTAGGATTACCATGCCTAGCCATCATGTCTCTGATTTCTATTTCACTTTGAAAATTTTATATATTTAATTTTATAAATACAAAAATTAAAAATAAATATATGGATAAATAAACACCTTGTCAAAATATTCCATCTGAACCCACTTTTCAGAGATAATTAACATCAGTAGTTTGGTGCATATTCTTTTATGTATGTAGTTGATACTTAGTCTTAATTTTTTTTTTTTCTTTGAGATGGTGTCTCACTCTGTCACCTGGGCTGGAGTACAGTGGTGCAGCCTTGGCTCACTGCAGCCTCAACCTCCTGGGCTCAAGAAATCCTCCTGCCTTAGCCTCCCAATTACTTGGGCTACAGGCACATACCACCGTGCCTGACTAATTTAAAAAAAATCTTTTTTAGAGACAGGGTCCTACTGTGTTGCCCAGGCTGGGCTCGAATTCCTGGGCTCAAGTGATCCACCAGCCTTAGCCTCCCAAAGTGCTGGGATTACAGGTATGAGTCATGGCACCTGGTCCTTAATCTTAATTTTTAAATATTATTGTCATTTTTGTTTGTTGTTGCCAGTATGGGGCTGTATACATACATACTATTCTACAGCTAGATTTTTTTTTCACTTAGCAATATGTCCTAGACACACTTCCCTGTTAGTACATGCAGATATGCCTCATTCTTTCCAGCTGATACATCATATTCTATACTGTTATTCTCCTGCCCTCACAGATTCTTTATTCACCTTCTTTTCTTCTGTGTACTGGCTGCTGGTCTCTGTTACCTGCATCATCTGGGCTTCCTTGCCTTCCGACTTCTAGCTGGGATCAGCTGATAAAAGGCCCTGACAGGAGATCTGAGGGCCAGTGGTGGGAGGGGTCAGACTGTGTTTTATCCCTTACCCCTTGCTCCTTGCCACAGTGCTGGTAGCAGCTGTGCTCATTGTCTGTGATCACTGCTGCTGTAGGGTGGCCTCTCTTCTCCAACCAGCTCTTGCCCTTTCAGGTTGAAGGGTAGAAATAGCTTCCTGCTGTTGCTAGTCCCTGGATGCTTCTCAATCCCTTGTTGGTTTCTTTAAACCCTGCTTACACAACTATAAAAAAAAAATCCTGTCATTAAACTTCCTTCAGTTTGCTCCTTTGCATCTGCCATCTGTTTCCTGCTAAGACCTCAACTGATGTGACCAGGGAGACTTACCATAATTTAATTATTGGGTTCCCTATTATTGTGCATTTAAACTGTTTCTAGTTTTCTAGTATTTTGCTGTTATACTCAGAGTTGCTAATGAACATTCATTTATATGTCCTTTTTAATATTTGTTGGAGTATTGTTTGAAAAAAAGTCATAGGAATAGAAAGACTGGGTTAAGGTATATGAACATCGTAAATTTCAATAGATACTTCTAAATTGTTTCCAAAGGAGTCTACCAACTTACATTTCTATAGTGTGTTGTTTGATTTTTTTTAATAGTAAAAAATTAATGGAGGCAATACTTATGACTTTATAAAAAATAGGCTTTTTTTTTTTTTTTTTTAAAAAGAGATAGCATCTCTTTTTTTTGCCCAGGCTGGCGTCTAGTAGCATGATCATAGCTCACTGCAACCTTGAACTCCTGGGCTCAAGTGATCTTCCTGCCTCAGCCTGCCAGGTAGCTGGGGCTATAGGCATGTGTCACCATGTCCTGCTAATTTTTACTTTTTTGTAGAGATGGGGTTTTATCGCATCATCTTGCCCAGGTTGGTCTCGAACTCCTGGGCTCACTCAGTCCTCCAGCCTTGGCCTCTCAAAGTATTGGGATTACAGGTCTGAGCCACCATGGTAGGGCCCGTGACAAATAAATTTAATTCAGAAGTGCACAAAGGGAAAAGTAAAAGTCCTCCGAGTCCCATCTGCTTATCATCATCCCATCTTATTCCCTAGAGGTAAGCACGCTAACAGCTGTGTAGCTTGTCAGGCCTTTCTCCCGTTTTTATATTTACATGCTTAGCATAGACTAAATTGAGTACATTTATATATATATGTAGAAAGTAAACTCATTCATATAAGTGTGTATATATATCTCTCTATTTGAAAGAACCTATTTCTAGACTCTGTTCTCTTCCATTGACCCATCTGTTTTTTCTTGTGCCAGTACCTATCTATCTTAGTAATTACAGCTCTGAGTTGGTTCGATATCTGGCAAGGCAGATTCTCATCCCATTATTTTTCATTTTAAGAAATTTCTTGGCTCTTCTTGGGCATGAACTCTTCAGGTTATCATTAGATTCAAGTTCAGAAAATTCATAGTTTTTGACTGGAATGAAACTGAATTGATAGAAAGCTCACATTTCAGGAAAACTGACATATTTCCAATTGAATCTTCTCACTTAAGAACCTCTTTTGTCCCTTTATTTACTCAGATATTTTATGTTCTTTAGTGAAAGTCTTGCCCATTTCTAGCTAAGTTTATTTTTAGTTATTTTATAGATTTTGTTGCCATCATGAATGGAATTTTTTCACTTTATGTTTCCTTCCTTCCTTCCTTCCTCCCTCCCTCCCTCCTTCCCTCTCTTTTTTCCTTTCTTCTTCTTTTTTTTTTTGAGATAGAGTCTTGCTCTGTCACCCAGGCTCGAGTGCAGTGGTGTGCTCACAATTCACTGTAGCCTTGACCTCCTGGACTTAAGCAATCCTCCTGCCTCAGCCTCCTGAGTAACTGGGACCACAGGGGCACACTACTAGGCCTGGCTAATTTTTTAATTTTTCTTTTTGGAGAGATAGGTTCTCACCATGTTGCCTAGACTGGTCTCAAACTCCAGGGCTCAAGCAATTCTCCTGCCTTAGCCTACCAAAGTTCTAGGATTACAGGTGTGAGCCACTGTACCTGGCCCACCTTACATTTTCTAACTGGTTATTGCTCGTATGATTTTTAAGAATGTGTTGATTTTTGTAAATTAATCTTATAATCACCTACTTTATTGAACTTCCATTCTAATGATTTTTTAGTGTCTTATCTTGGCTTTTCTAGGTGGACAATTATATTATCTGTAAATTATAATGTTTTATAACACCATTGTTAATATGTATACATAATTTTTTTTTTTTTTTTGAGACAGAATCTTGCTCCGTTGCCAGGTTGGAGTGCAGTGGTGCAGTCTCAGCTCACTGCAACCTCTGCCTCCCGGGTTTAAGCGATTCTCCTGCCGCAGCCTCCCGAGTAGCTGGGACTACAGGCATGCGCCACCACTTCCAGCTAATTTTTGTGATTTTAGTAGAGATGGGGTTTCACCATGTTGGCCAGGATGGTCTTGATCTCCTGACCTCTTGGTCCACCTGCCTTGGCCTCCCAAAGTGCTGGGACTACAGGCGTGAGCCACTGTGTCTGGCCGTTTTTTTTCCCTTATGTCATTTTGTGGTTGGGATATTTGATTGGGGTTGGTGGGGCACCTGACCCAGGACAGTCTTCTGGGCTAGTGTTGAATTTTATATTTAAGTGTACCAGCTATACATCCTTTTACATCAAAGGATGTACAGTAGGTACAACAGCAGGGTAGGTGAATTCCAGACAGGCCTTGAGGATAGAAACAATAAGGCAACGTTCAGTCAATAGAAAGTACAGTGACTAGAGCATAGGGCACAAATTAGGTTGAGAGAAGCAAGAGGTGGATTGGAGAGTAAATTGAGGCTCGGTCAGAAGTTTCTAATTACTTTATTCAGAGGAGTTGAGAATTGAATGAAAGATGTGTTAGGCAGAATGGCCCTTCAAAAATATCCACACCCTAATCCCTGGAACTTATGAATTTGTTACTCAACATGGCACAAAGGACTTCACAGATAAAATGAAGGTTATGGGCCTTCAAATAGGGAGGTTATCCTGGATTATTAAGGTGGGCCCTATATAGTCACATGGGCCCCAAAAAGCAAAGGAGTTTCTCCAGCTGGAAGAGAAGGAAGATGTGGAGGGGGAATTTGGAGAGATTCAAAGAGTGAGAGGGGCTGAAGGGGACTCCATGGAAAGCGTGGAAAGGACTGCGAGAGTGAAGGCTGGCCCCTGGTGGATAACCCATGAGGAAACGGGGGCCTTGGCCCTACAGCTGCACTAACTGAATTCAGCCAACAGCCTGAGTGAGCTTGGAAGTGGATTCTCCAGGACCTCCAGACAGGAACAGAGCCCTACCAACACCTTGGTTTTGGTCTTGTGAGACTCTAAGCAAAGGACCGAGCTGAGCCTCACCATACCCAGATTTTGGCCTTCAGAACTCTGAGATAATTTTGTGTTGTTTTAATCTGCTGAGTTTGTGACACTTTGCCACAGCAGCAGTAGAAAATAATGCAAAGGGTTTAAGCAAGGATATTGTCAGATTTTGTGTTATTAAAAGACTTCTTGTGACATGTGGAAATGGATTTAGAGACTGTAAATTTGGAGGCAGGGAAACGTGTTTGTGGGAATGCTGGGATAGCACAAACTAGGGTAGTGATCATGGGAAGGGGTTATGATTTGAGGCTTATCTGGGAGGCTAGAATTGCCATAACTAGTCAGAGACTGGAGGTCGGTGGTTGGGGTGGGGAAGCAAGGGTGACAGCTGCTTTCTGGCTTGGCAGTGGCTGATGATGAAGCTGTTTCTTGAGATGGGGATGAGCAGATTGGAAGATGTCATGATATAAAATTGATAACTCTAAGTTGTTCTTCATTTGGAAATTCTCTGTATAGATACTTTAAGAGAGAGTATATCAATAAGATGAGTGCTTTGTCTTTTAAGAACTAAACTTTTTCTCTTTTAGGTCATGTAGGAAATCGTAAATCATGTGAAGATGGGACTCTTGGTATTTGTGCGCAATCTGCTGCTAGCCCTTTGCCTCTTTCTGGTACTGGGATTTTTGTATTATTCTGCGTGGAAGCTACACCTACTCCAGTGGGAGGAGGACTCCAGTAAGTATAGTCACTCTAGCTCACCCCAGGACAAGCCTGTTGCAGGTCAGTTACTGGTTTTTCATGTGGCTGCAGTGCGCTCATATTCTTCAGAGATGGGCAAAGAGAGTAAACTGAACGTTTCTGGGACTTAGGCTTAGAAATTGCCTGCCTTTTTAACTGTTTTTTAAAAAACTGCATGCCATAGCAAATCTCAGTTCCTTTTACAGACTTGGTGAGAATGTGCTATTCTTCAATAAAAACCCAAACTGTATTCATACTTCTAGTCCTTGAATGCTTTTGTTCTTTCTAATTTCTGTAGCATATTGTCACTCTATTTTGGCATATATTGCCTTAGGGATTAGTACTGAAGTTAGTTTCCATCTGCTCTTAAAACATTTGTCTTTACCTTTTCCTTGAATTTTCAACATAATATTGTCTCTGTTTTGTCTTCCCTATAGAAACCTTGTGTCTACTGAATCTTTGTAGCCCTTGCTGCTATTGAACTTGCACCTGACTACAATAATGGCTTATTTTCCCTACCCAGTAACTCCTCATTTTTTTCTTCTCTTTGTGCACTTGGTCTCATGTGTTATATCGTGTCTTCCACCTCGCCTGAATCTCACTGATTTGGTTTCTGTTTACCTGACGTGGCCTGTGTTTTGCTTCTAGGCTTGCAGTTGAAGGGCTTATGTTGATCGGCAACAGCCTTTGCACATTCTTTTCTTGGCTGTAGCTTAAAATATCACACAATGACCATAGTGGTTCTCTTTTTGGTTGTTTTGCCTGATTGTTATCTGATCTTGGTGTGGGAAATAATGTAAAATCAGAACAGAGTGGCCTGCTTTGAACTTCAGTGATGTGTTTTTCTTAAAGTAGTTTTATTTTTACCAGTATCTACCAGATAATAGTGTAGAACTCACCTGAGAAGAGAATCAGTCTCTAGGTACGAGGTTAAAGTGAGCTGCAGTGAGTTGGAAGAAGCAGCTGGCAATTGGCCTGCTGTTGTTCTAAGACCCTAACATGGGAACTGTTACAATGAAGTAGCTCATTTATTTCTCCCATGGCTCAAACTACTGAGACAGTTTCAAGTCAGTTTTTAAAATGTGATGGTATATCCTTAATTTATTGTTTTATGTAGAATGTTTATGTGCCTTTTAAATGCTTAGCTTATAATTATCACTAATTACTTGTGTGTTTCGAAAATTTACTTAAATTTATCTGTACTGACTTATTTTTAAAATCTAGGAGACTACCCAGGATAAGGAGTGTTTACATCAGTCAAGTGCAGAATTCTGTCCTTACAGGCATTCACTGTCTGTATTGGTAGTGGTAGATCCATCTGTATCAAAAATATAGATGGAAATGTGTGTGAAGAACAGGGGTCTTCTTTTCTGCTAAGAGCTACTGACCTATAGAAGACATAACCAAGGATCAGATAAGATTTTCCTAGATCAGCAGGGAAGGGAATTAACTTTATGGAACTCATCGTGTGTCAGGCATTAGGCTAGACAATTTACAAATATAATTTCATTTACTGTAATTCTTACTACAGTTTTGTGAAGATGCCATTATTATCCCCATTTTCCAGTTGAGCAAACTGAAACACTTTAATTTACCAAGGTTATATTATTGGAACTGGAATTCAATTCTGATTTCCCATCTTTAAAACCTATATTTATTTTACTGGAAAATATAATAAATAGTGAAGGCAATACTTAATTTAGTATTCTACCTGGTAAAAAGAGAGAGAGGAAAGGGGCTCAGAGAAGTAGTAGAGAGTGTCAGGAAGGGGATGTGAAAGGAAAAGGAGGGAAAGAGAAAGTTATCGGAAGACAGGGAGGTGACAAGGTGCTATTCACTTGGGCTCTAGGCTTCAGAAGTTATCTGCTGTCCTTTCCATTAATTGTTAGCTGACTAACCAGTATTTACGGCTTTTCTTTTTATTTTATTTTATTTTTTGAGACAGTGTCTCTCTCTATTGCCAGGCTGGAGTGCAATGGCATGATCCCAGCTCACTGCAACTTCCATTTTCCGGTTTCAAGCAATTCTCCTGCCTCAGCCTCCCGAGTAGCTGGGACTACAGGCACGTACCACCATGCCTGGCTATTTTTTGTTGTATTTTTAGTACAGACAGGGTTTCACCATGTTGGCCAGGATGGTCTGGATCTCTTGACCTCATGATCCACCCACCTTGGCCTCCCAAAGTGCTGGGATTACAGGCGTGAGCCACCATGCCCGGCCTACAGCTTTTCTGTTATTCTGACTCCCAGGCCTTTTAGAGGTTTGACTTTGAATAGGTTGTTTAGACTATGTCACCATAGCGTATTATTTTCTGTGCTGTAATATCAGAGAACAGAGTAATAGGACCCACCCTGCGTGGTTTACCGAGTCAGACAGGTCCTCTATTTTTTTTTGGAAACAAGGTCTCACTCTGTTGCCCAGGCCAGAGTGCAGTGGTGCTGAAGGAGCATCACAACCCAGATGAATGTTATGTTGTGAAATTTAAGCTATGGTTTAATAATACTGACGGTGATAAGATGAAATGGTAATTTATTGAATATCGACTGTATGTCCACACTATAGCAGGGTCTTTATATTCAGAATTTCATTTGATCCTCATAGTTTTTATTGGTTATTTATTATCCTAATTTTACAGATACAGAAACTGAGTCTTCAGAGAGGCTATGTATTCAAGAGTTTGTATGCCTTTCGTCTGAGGAGGTTGAGGACATTCCCAAGTTAGAAGAATAAATGTCTTTAGCATTACTTTTTCATAATTATTATAATATGAATAAGTTACTCAGACTACCTATTGGAATTTCTTCATGGTAGGAGGAAGAGGCTAGAGTTGTTCTTTTTTTTTGACACAGGGTCTCACTCGGTCGCCCAGGCTGGAGTTCAGTGGTGTGACCTCAGCTCACTGCAGCTTCAACCTCCTGGGATTATGCTATCCTTCCACTTCAGCCTCCCAAGTAGCTGGGACTACAGGTGTGCACCACCATGTCCAGCTAATTTTTCAAAAATTTTAGAGATGGGGTTTCTTCATGTTGCCCAGGTTGGTCTCAATCTCCTGAGCTCAAGTGATCTTCCCACCTCAGCCTCCCAAAGTGCTCTAGGATTACAGGCATGAGCCACTGTACCTGGCCTGAGGCTAGAGTTTACTATTGTTATTAAATTATTCATTCAGTAAGCAGTATGTTCTTATTATGGTCTATGTACTGTTCCGGATAAACTGGCTATAAGATGAACATAGGCCTTCATGCTCTTAGCCTATAATGTGAGAACAAAATAAAACAATTATTATAATATATTGAGTTCTAAAAGAGCAAGCTTTGTGAAATGTTGTGTTGGAGCATAGAATTCCTTCCAGATAGAAAATTTATGTTTTCATTAATTCCAAGATGTATTGTAGAGGGCTACAAACTGCTTTGTCTTTGGCAGCTTAGAGACACATGCGACCTAGGCTTGATCAGGTTGCCAAGACTTAGGTCAAATGCCTAATGTAAAAAGCTTCAAGTATGAGATTAGTCTAGTTATCAACCTGTTTTTAAAAGTACTGTAGAATTATTATACATGTAGTATGATAAAAATATGTATATACCTACATAGATACATATATTTTTAATACATATTTTAATTAATGAACAAATCACCAGTCTCTGGAGTTAGAAAGAGTTGGGTGTGCTTGTTTCTTCAGCTCCAAAATGAAGATAAAAGACTTATTTCTCTTTGCTCTGTTGCTTTATTTAGGACAGTGCCTATATAGGAGTTGGGTAGTTGCCTCTTTGCAATAGCCCTCGTTTATTTCATAGTGGTCCATTTCCTGGAAGCCTTGCATAATTTTATTAATTGAAAATTTTACATATTTCTGCTGGGTATGGTGGTTCACATCTGGAATCCTAGCACTTTGAAAGACTGAGGAGGGAGGGTTGCTTGAGGCTGGGGGAATTACTTGAGGCCAGGAGTTCAAGACAAGCCTGGGTAACATCGTAAGGCCTTGTCTCTACAAAAATTTTTTAAAAAATTATCCAAACATGGTGGTGCACACCTGTATGGCATGTAGTCTAGCTACTCAGGAGGCTGAGGAAGAGGATCAGTTAGGCCTAGGATTTCGAGGTTGCGATGAGCTATGATCATGCCACTGTACTCCAGCCCGGGCAACAGTGTAAGACCCTGTCTCAAGAGAGAGAGAGAGAGAGAGAGAGAGAGAAGGGGAGAGAGGGAGGGGGGAGAGAGGGAGGAAGGTGAAGGAAGGATATTCATTTCTAATTAATAAAGTAGATCTTTTATAGGATTAGCTTCCATTGTGAGACCTTTAAAAATTCATGACTAAGTGAGGTGGCTCATGCCTGTAATCTCAGCACTTTTAGAGGCTGAAGTAGGAGAATTGCTTGAGCCCAGGAGTTCAAGACCAGCCTGGGCAACATAGGGAAACCCTGTCTCCACAAGAAAACTTAAAAATTAGCTGAGTGTGGTGGTACATGCCTATGGTCCCAGATACTTGAGAGGCTAAGGTGGAAGGATCGTTTGAGCCTAGGAGGTAAAGGCTACAGTGAGCTGTGGTTATGCCACTGTACTCCAGCCTGTGTGACCCTGTCTGAATTTTTTTTTTTTAATTCATGCTACTGTGTTAATCAATTCTTACAGTGCCCTTTGTGTTCTTCCCCATATTTATAAAAGATTATGGCCGGGCGTGGTGGCTCACGCCTGTAATCCCAGCACTTTGGGAGGCCGAGGTGGGCAGATCATGAGGTCAGGAGATCTAGACCATCCTGGCCAATATGGTGAAACCCTGTCTGTACAGAAAATAAAAAAATTAGCTGGGCATGGTGGTGTGCTCCTGTAGTTCCAGCTACTCCAGAGGCTGAGGCAGTAGAATTGCTAGAACCTGGGAGGTGGAGGCTGCAGTGAGTTGAGATCACGCCACCGCACTCCAGCCTGGGTGACAGAGTAAGATCTCAAAAAAGAAAAAAAAAAAAAGAAAGAAAAAAAAGATTTTAACTAGATAAATTACAAAA